TTGGAGGACGTGGAAGGTGCAGAAGCTGAGCTCGACTTGTGGCCACGCCATCTCACAGGTTCTGCGCGACGTAGAGCAGCGTACAGATGTCTACCTTGTCTACGACGGTTAGGTACTCCCCCACGTCCAGCACGCCGTTCAAGGGCCTGGCCCCGCTGGAAGGGGTCGCCAGCCTTCACCCACTCGCTCCTGTCTACCACTGCATGGCATGACATGGAGAGTGTGAGTCAATATCAAATACGAAGCCGGTGGGCTGGCGGGGACACTCCCCCTCACTTCTCCCACTACGCCATCGCTCCTTCCCCTCCTCCCTCCATCTCTTCATTCACCCTTACCAAGCCGCGTGTCTGCGCGTGTACGCATCAGCATAAGGTTTTACTTTGTATCCAATATCCCTGCCCGGGGCAGGCACGTATTTGTACACGTGCGTGGGCGGCATTGGCAACTTCCCTGTTTATTCATTTCCGCCTTGGTCACGATGCGCGGCGTCGCACCCGTGGCGGTAGTCCCGCTGTTGAATGCCGCCCCGATACCACACACAGGTAATGCCCTTTTAAATGTTGTGTTTAAGGGAAGGTAAAGAGTCACAAAGCAATGGTAGCGTCAGCCATTATCATAAGCATACATAATTTTCAAACGCGTACAAACGCTCGCTCGAAGTCGATTAAAGACGCGTGTTGGCTTTGCGCCTTCATGCGCCTTGAAGACGCAGAAATGACGCGACAGCGAGACATAAAGTACAGCATGTAGGCAAAGCACAATTAAAAAAAAAATTAAGAAAATGGCCACTTCAGCTGGTCTACCGCACCGCAAGACGGAGGATGTCAACAGTAGGCTACCCGGATGTGGGGCGTCACGGCCAAAATGAGCGACTGAAAAGAGGATCGGGAAAGGCGATATGCCATCAGGGAAACCATGTTGACGTCTTGTCACATCATGACTTTGTTGGAAAATACTGTTGACTTTTCTTGCTGCGTATAAGCGTGGATCTCATTTTTTTGTCGCAATGTGGGTGAAACATATTGGGCATGTTTGTCGTGTTGGATCCGACAGAAAAAGACGACTTTTCCCAATCCTTCAAAGGCAACGTACTCACTTAGGACATCACATCAGCAAACAATATATTGAACATCTTTGCCACTCTCATCTTCCCAAGCACCAAACATTGAGTGGGAAAAACAATTTTATTTAGAATCCTTGGCCTTGGAGCTGACGAAACCATTCCCTCATCTTTCATACACCCCCTCGAAAATGAAGCACCAAGCCAACACGATGATGCTGCGAATCGTCCAGGCCTTAACCTTGCTGATGGCCACCACCGCCTTCTTCGCCCCTCACGCCCCCTCTGCAGGCATCAAGCGCGGTGGTCCCGTGTACAACGGGGATGTCGAGGTCATCTGGCCTGGCAACAAGAAGGTGAAAGCTAAACCGGGGGAGGCCCTGAAGGCTGTCGCCGCTAGAGCTCGTTACACGCCTAACTACGGATGTGAAGAGGGGAAATGCGGTTCATGTGAGCACAAAGGTAGCGATGGTAAGAAGTACCGCGTTTGCATCACGAAGGTGCCGAAAATCGCCGGCCCATTGACCTTGAAGCCCTAAGATGAATGGGAAGTGGTACATAAGTGGAATCAAGATGAAATGAATGCCAGACTGACCATTGATTCGTCCACCTGATGAGAGATTAAGAATGAAGAATAAACCGTGAGCATGGTTATCTGTGCTTAAGCTTTAAATCAAACGAAAAAACTTGACGATAACCACACGACACGGGGGCGAAACCCCACGGTTCGCTCACGGTCATCGATTTCACGCACAGTGCATTCTCCTTTGTAGCAAATTGTGCCTCAAACGATCCATCTATATGAACATCATCGAGGGATGGCTCGTCCACACGGTTGTCTGTACACTAACTATCCTCCTCCGCTCCCAAGGAATGTCTACATGAAAACCTCGGGCGGCATCTCCAAGCGCCTGCGGCCTTCACGCAAACCTCTGTTCATCTTCCCATCATCTGTTACCTCCCCACCCTCTGGCATCTTTTCTCCTAGTGCCTGGGCCCGTGTCCATTGCGGACTCAAGGATCGAATGCGGTCGCCAGAGGAATGCAAAAGGCATGCGCCGACGGTCGAATCAATGTTTTCGTGTTCCTGCTCCCATCCTTGCTCGCGTGCCGGCGTACCTGTCTCGCGTCCAGCCTCAGTCTGCGGCTGCTGCGGGCGATGTTGGTCCTCGAACATGCTGTCCTCCGAGAGATACCAGTCTTTCAGGCCGTACTTCCGCTCCAAATGCTCGTAGTAGTTCATGACCTGTCCGACGTACTTTCTCTTCTGCAGGTAGCTTCCTGGAAAGAAGCTGCGCTTGAAGCCCTCCAATATCATGGTTTTCAGCTCGGTAGGTGTAAGTGCAAAGTGCTCGATGGCGAGGAGGAGCTCATTGACTACCGTGGTATTGCTTACCAGTCGATTGTCCGTGCAGAGGGAGACGCAGATCCCGTGGGCGAGCATATCCTTGAGCGCGTGCTTGGAAATGTCATCGCGGAGCTCGGTCCTGCATAGAAGGATCGACTTAGATGTGAGATGGATTAACATAGGAAATCAAATGATGAAGCAGCATACAACGGTAGCAACACGGGCGTCACGAGTGAGAGTGCAACGCTCTTCCATCCACCCACGCTTCGGGGTCAGCATGACAGGTCCCTCAATTGGGCCGCCCTTGAACATCACCTTTCCCCCCTCGGACCTACATAGTTTGTCTGTTGCTGCTCAGACACACCTCGAGCATGATCCTTCGTTTTGCCACGTACTGGACCAGGCCCGCGACAAATTCGGCCGGGCGCTCCTTCTTGACCACCTTGTCCACCGAGAACAAATGGTAGCCGTGGCCAAGCCTCTCACAGTGCAGATCTGTGATTGCCTGAAAGACTGCTTCTGGACCGAAGGCCTCTCCGGCGTGCACCGTCACCCCCAAAAAATTCTTGTGCGCGACCTCGAAAGCGGCTTGGAATTCCGCCGCGGGATACCCGGCCTCTTGGCCGGCAATGTCCACCCCGACGACGGGCAGGCCATGGTCCTTCTTGGCTTTGATGGCTGCGTGAAACAAAGCGCTGGCCGCAAGCTGGTAGACGAGCGCCTGAGGCTCATCCTGGTGCAGGGAGCAGAATGCATGGTAGTACTCCGAGACGTCCGTCATAAAGGTGCGCATGGCGCAGCATATTATGCCGAAATCAAAGCTAGGTTTTTGTCCATCCCTGACCGACTGTTGGGCATTGTATTCCTTCTTAGCCCTCTCCAATCCCCGCGTTGCCTCCGTCAAGACTCCTATCACGTCCAATGTCGCCGTGGCCAGAAGCTGAGGCGCAAAACGCGGCTCAATGTAAAGGACACCTTCATTCAAACAGTCCCAAGCAAATTCGTAGGCAATCCGCTCCAGCGCTCCAGGTTGCTGCAGAACGCGAACAATGAGAGGGAACCCTCGTAGGTAGTCCACCAAACTGTCGTACGTTTCACGGAACACTAATTCACGCAAACCCTCTTCGGTATAGGCAGGAAGGTCGACATGGTGCTCTTGGGCAAGCTCTATCAACGTACTTAGCCGAGGAGAACCATCAAGATGCACATGGAGATCTGTCTTTGGAATTTCGGTTAGAAAATTTACGAGATTGGGCCCCATCCCTTTGAAAACACGACACCGGCGGCACGCGGAGGCTAGGTCGCTCGAAGCATCATTCACCCTGTTCACGCGCCTAGGCAAATCATCTACATGGTTATGGTCACCATTCTCTTGTGTGGCCAACTTCTTTCCATTAAATGCGCACGGTCGGGAGGGTGCAGGGGAGAAGTTCTGCTTTTCGGACATTCGTAGTGCTTCAAAGTATCACGTAGTACGTGCCTGGAGTCGTTCCTGGAGATGGAGAAAGTCATGAAATGAGGTACCTTGAGCTTTTCACACAGCTTACGCTCCATCAGGCTGCTCATAAGAAGCTAAGTGAATCACGTCTGCCAGAATGGTTTTGCCTCCCAAACCTTGAAAGCTGCAAGCTACATGGTTGTCACCAGTCGGAGCCCGTCTTTGTACCTCCGGGTACTGTGGCACTTCTAGTGGCACTTCAATGCGAAAAACCATTGGACCCTTTTCTAAACCACGCAATCGGCCGAATAACATAATGCGCTACGTTAATTTTTTTTGATTGAACGGTTCAAAGGATCGCAAGCTCTGCTAAGGAGGAAAATGAACAGGTAGCTGAAGCCGTGTACAATAAGAGGGCAGCAAAGCGCTTCTCCATAATGTGCCATAAAAAATAGCCTGCATCCCATCATAAAGATAATTCATACAGAGCGATATTGAAGAGTCCCTGAAACTAGAAGTTGTTGTTCTCACATCAGTGATGGGCCTTCCATGTCCAGTGTTGTTCCGTCATGGTCCATGTCGGTACGGGGGTTCTTCGCATCGGTTGCCTCCACCATAGGCTATGCACCGCCCGGGGAGACATGTCTTGCGACTGCTCCCCTGAGCGAATCTGGTGCAATCCTAGTGCATACACCGGTTGTAGTTGCAAGGCATGGCTGCTAGTTGGCTGTGTCTTGAGCGAGATGTTGTAAAATAGGAAAAGTGACATTTTATCTCACTACATAAAATTCTATATTTGAAATTTACAGACGAAACGTGAGACATCAAAGGGAATTAACTGTGATTGCATTCCCTCGGGAAGGAACGTGAAGCAGAAGAATAAAAGTGGAGGCGGCAGCGGGCAAGGGGGGCTAAGGGAGGTAGGAGGCGTGTGAGGGGGGAGCTCAAGGAGGCCCAAGCATCCACAAACCAGTTCCGAGTTTTATGCGTTTCTTCTTCAAAAAAGATATTCTATTATATCCCTTCCCCTGGAAATGTCATTTCCTTCCAATTTTTCAATGATATACCCATAGTTACTGCTCCTGGACCAACACCAGCATAGCCTTCTGGGTTTGCTAAAAGGTCGAAAGCACCCCCCATGACCGCTGTAAGAATCGGATGTCGAATTTTACAGGGTAAGGAGTCCATCCGCGTCAACAAGAAGAGAGTGAGTAGGAAAACACAGGCATACACACACGTACACACACAGGATACTTACCGACTTGTGACGGTCCGAGAGACTGATACACGGGTAAGACCAAATTGCCATTATCAAATGCATGACCTTGTGCTACGTGCGGATCAAGGCGCCCTCTCTCGACAGCGTACTCAAATACCTCTTGCAGATTTCGAATATGCCCGTTTTGCTCTTGCGGCACCCTTTCCTTATCCATATTGTCTCGTAAGCACACAGCGGCGTTTGGGCGGAGAAATTGAGCCAGTAGAAGCAAATGCAGCATCGCATTCATATGGTCGAATAAAGACAGGAAAAAGTATCGGCTTATCGAAAAAATCCTAAGGAAATATTACGACGTTGTGGTAAGGTTTGACTTGAATTTTGTTGTGACTCGTTCATACGAAAAAAGTGAGTTCTTTCAACCCCTTACTTCCTGTCGCACAGCATAGGAAGGCCATCTCTTGAGAAGCCTAGCTCAACAACATGAAGTTTTGTTTCAGCATTATTAAAATCTATTCAAAGTCCACAATAGACACTAATCTGATCTCAACATTCTTGGTCCTCGGGGGGAAACCGAACATGCATATCTCTTCGGATAAATTATATCTCGATTCACATCCATCATCCTTTCGATCCTGAATCTTATCGTTATTGATATAAATGACGGTCAAGATATATGAACACCCTCTTGTTTCATAAAAGCTTGTTGTCTTTAATGAGCTCAAGTTAGTATTTGTTGAACTTTTTCTCCCTCGTCTTCTCCCATGCAACTTCTTTGAACCGCCTACCCCCACCAAGGAATGAAAACCCAGTCCCAGGAAGGAAAGCTTAATCAATTAATTAATTTGTCGGTCGCACGAGACCGTGCTTATATTTCAGCGTGGTGCCCAAAGCACATGCTCGAAAAGCTGACTTGCTGTCAAATATTCGAAGCGGATCAGAAATCGGATTCAAAAAATTTAAAATTTAAGTTGGGAGGCAATCGACTGGAGTGATGATAATACTTCTGGCAGGCTGTGCATTTCTGGATTAAAGCGGTCGCTGCTATTTATCCACCCATAAACTGACATAATAATAAACCGTTTTGTTTCTACATGAATTATTTATTTGCTGATGGTCTTCAGTTGCTTGCTTACATTTTATTTGTGGGGTTCGATTTCCCCATCCCTATCCGATATTTGTTCATCTTGTGTAAACTATAAACGAGTGCTTTCCACACACCTGCCGTGAATACGCCTTTGAAGCCTTGAGTCAAACTTGAGCGAGCTACCACTTTGTGGATGGCAAGCTTCACCATCTTCGAAGTCTTCTTCCCTGACAACTGTTCCCAGGCGTCTCGAAGAGCCTTGTCCTCCTCTTCTCTTGAATGCACAATTTTTGTACTTCTTTCGCTTGACATAACGTCTCGTAGTTTTCGCGGCACCAAGAATTGCCGCAGTGCCATTGGAAGCTGACGGAGGTGGCTGGCCCGAACCCTAGGGCTCAGGTCTTGAGAGAACCGTCCTTTGTCTGCAGCGGCAGCTGTCAAAGACGAGAAAGTCGCCAAAACAGGAGAATACAATTCATGAAAATGTGGTAAGTTGGAAGTGACGATATTTTTCACTTTTCTAGGATTTTCTCCGAAAGTCATGCGGAAGTCGCCCCTATATGACAGGCCCGCGATCATCGTGAATAAGTCGAAGTCGGAAAAGGACTCGGGAAGCAGGAGCAAAGCCGCGCGTACGGCACTTCTCAAGTTCATGCGTTGTGCTTCCGCAAGTGCCTCGTAAGCTTTAAGAATTTTGACAGGTTTCTGCATGCGCCCTGTGAGGTATGGAGAAGCATCGATCGATTTGATGTTAGGAAAAAGCAAACAGACAATAATTAGCGCAACGACCTCTCAAATTATGTCCCTTGCGCGTATAGCTTTCCCTTTAAAACGCACCTGCTGCATACATCCATTGCCAATCGACCAGGTCCCGCCGAAGAGCATGGGTGCTAATGATGCCATACTTCATGACGCGGTTGGGGTGTCCTGGAACAGGAAGAGCCGTGTTGTAGTAGAGAGCGGCGCCATAGTCCTCTAACTCGCATCACCAATTGCGCATAGATAAGTGTCAGCGAAAATAACGTATGAGAAATTATGAATTCAAATCTGTTGCGAGCCTTCAAAAGTAAAGGTTTCGCGGAAAATCTCTTGGCCAAGACATCCGGAGGATGTCACAACTCTCTATAGCCTCAGCCATCGCTGGCTACGCCAGCGTTTCAGCAGTGACGCCAATATTGCGATCTATCCTCACCTTGTATCTGCCCTAACCTCTCGGCTCCCAGGTATCGCAGTATTGAATAGTCCTTCCAATTCCGCTCCAGATTTTCCCGGTGCCATTCGATTGGATTGCGCACAGCTACCACCAAATCAAGCATGGGAGGGCGTTTAAGTTGCATGTTTGCAGACGGTGTCGACCCTCCAGGCTGGAGGAGTTGATCATTGACGCCCCTAATTGCTTCCTTTTGTTCATGGTCGGAATATCCATCCTGTCCAAAAACACCACTTCCGTAGGCGAAAGCAAAGTCTATAGCGGGCAATTTTTGCAATATAGCATCGTATGGCATGTTTTTATCGTGAACAAGCTCATCGCGAGGATGTTTGTGGAACTGCATTTATGAGGCCGTGTTTACCTGAGAATGGGGTTCTAGGCCATGAGTGGATAAGCACTTGTAGAGACTCGCACGGTTTACATCCAACTCCGTTTGACACAAGGGGTCCGTGCCTAGCTGTTCCAAAACTAACGTGCGAGTTATAACCATAAACATTTGAAAATGCGTTCCCATGCTTGGAGTCACGTCACACCAAGGCGATGGTGAGCGAGCGAGGACTACTTGCTTCTCGATTGTGAGGAGTGATGTCGAGTTGTATGATCATCAAGACCCCGGCCTTTCGTGTGAAGAAGATCACACAGGTACCAATCAATAAAAATTTTGCCTGTCTGCCTACCCGTATGAATGGTTTAACAATGACCTGAAATCAAGGTCATGGAGTCTTGCCAAAGGAAGTCAAGGTTTCGATGAGGAGTCCAACGTCCTTCGCGCCAACATCCCACCGACGGTCTGAGGCGACCGAGAAAACCCATTTCTGTAGGACCTGAAGATTTGCCACAGACCTTCACCCTACCAGAAACTTTCAGTCTTATAGTGGTCCAGGGCATAAAATTGTTGCGCCAATGGTACGCAGAGGCCACAAATAATTGACGTTTCCGAAGCATCCCACCCTATGGGCCCATTATATTCCGGTTGAGCTGGGCACCTGGAGCTGGGCCCAAGCCCTCCGGGAGTGTGTGCACGCATCCATCAACCCTGGTTTATCTGCTCAATTCTAGAAGCTCTATGTGTTGATTGTCGGTGCCATTCGTGTAGATACTTCTGAAACGTGGCGCTTAGACCCCCTTCTTCATGCCAGAGTCCTGCGTTCCGTGAGTCTTCATGCAGAGGTCAACTTGACCAGTGTGCCTCTTCTCGGCTGTTATCTCCCCGCCTCACCCCCCTTTCGCAGTCCTGACATTCATCCAGGCAGGTGTATAGTATGATTGCATGTATACAACGCCTGGCGTCATATCTCATGGTTACCCCTAAGCACGCACCCCTTGAACGGTCCCCTTTCTTAGGCCCATAGGGGATACATGCCATCACCTCCTCTCACCATCTCGGTTCTTGCGCTTCCGACCCCAAAGCAGGGAACCTTTTGGGCCTCGAGCAACCCGGACATTCAAAGAACGACGGGATTCTGCCTTGTCTCAAAGTGGTCATCTGCGCCCTGTAAATCGACCGGACTGGGTGGCTTTGGCTATTGTGGGGGACGTAACCTTTCAGGCGCCCATAGAGGCGTGAGCAGGCAAGCAAGGAGGAATGGACGGGCGGATTGTGACCACGGTGCCTTCACGGAGTCGCCACGATGCTGAGGCCGACGAGGAGGAGGATGTCGAGCTAGTTCAGATCATGGGGAGTGCGGCCGTCACGTGCGATGAGGACGGAGGCGACCAGGCCGTGCCCTCCCCCCTCACCACCGAATCTGCGTGTGAAGGAAGAGAAGGGTGTGCCGGGGCCTGGGGGATGCACACCATCGTGACCAAACCCATCGTGCTGCGACAAAAGGGGCCCATGGGAGGTAAAGCTGACATGGGTTTCGGCATGGGGTCCTGCACTCGAGCTCGCACCTCCCACCATCCCACGGCCTATCCTCCTCTCAACTGCACGTATCCCGTCACACATGCCGTGCCGGCGCGGATGGTAGTCAAGAAGAAACGCCTGGAGGAGGAAGACGCCGAAGTGGCGGGAATCCTGGCCCGAGTCCCGCCCTCCTCCCTTCCACCGCCATCCCCCCTGGGCCCGGGGCGGCAGGCAGGGGAGGGGGCCTCGTCCCCCGAAAGCGGAGGGTCCTCCCTCTCCTCGACCTGCTCCTCTCCCTCCCTGTCCTCTGGGCTGGACGTGTCGGAGCAGGACGAGGACCTGGGTGGCTCCTGCAGGGAGGGGGAGGGGATGGATGGAGACAAGGACAGCACCTTCCTCGGTCCCTTCCCCGGCACCACGCCCGACCACCACGGCTTCCAGAAGCATCACGTCCAAGAAGAGGCCACAATGGATGTGGAGGAGGGCGGGGAGATGGAGGAGCGGGAGCAGAAAGAGGGCGAGGGAGGGGCGGAGGTAGGGATGGAGAACGCAGTGATCGGGGGGCGGCCTCAGCGGAAGAGGAAGGTTCCGTCGTGGCTGGCGGAGACAGATGAGTATGGAGGGATCTCAGACTCCCTCTACGAGCCCGGCCACGGCCCCCACAGGCGGCCCCGCAAATTTCTTTGTCCCCCTGCACGAGACATGCGGTACTGCCCAGCGCTCCCGCCCTCCGTCCCTCCTTCCCTCGACCTGGCCTACCCGTCGCACGCGGCGCCCCTCGCGGGCCCAGAGCCCCAGGGGGGCCTTCTCTCCAGCCTCTCCCTATCCCTGATCGTCCAGCCCTTGTCCTCTAAGGCCCGACCGTGCTCGCGCCTCTCCCAGTGCGCCCTCAGCGACTTCTCCTTCAGCCCCGGCGCGGACGGGCTGGGGCTGGGCTTCGACTTCCCCCTCGACAACGCGGAGGCGGAGGGGAAGCATGTGCTTGAGGGGCCCGGGGAGAGCGAGGGGAAGTGGGGGGAGGAGGCGGGCGTTGCAGAGGGGG